TACCGTGATCATTTTGGTCACTATAACCGTGATAAGAAATTTTCATACCGTTACATCCCTAATATATACACACACACACACACACACACACATATATATATATATATATATATATAGAGTCAGGTTACAATAGGACTAATTAAAGGTCAGTTCACCTAATGTCAACTAAATTTAAGTTGCGATTCAGTAACAGTGATTAACATGAGCTTAATTTTTGGGTGAACTATTCCTTTAAACATGAACTATTGTATAATTGCATTCTGCCATATGCAACTCTGCCAGTTCCACTAAAGGTTGAAAGTGACAGCTTAAAAAAAATTGTAGAGGAATATTTAGCAATAAAAGGCAACTGCACAAGCTCTAAATAAATAGGTTGTAACATCTCGTTAAACAAAGTGCTCTTAAAAAATTTCATTTCCTCAATTTTCAATGTAAAATGATGCTTCTAATGTTATTTAGTAAATATATAGGTAATAGAAAAGTTAACGTTTTACTTACAGCCATAAGTTTATCTCCAGTCTGTAGCCGTCCATCTTTGTGGGCCGCTCCTCCCTCAATGATTTTGGTGATATAAATACTGTTGTCCCCAGGAATATGTTGGTTTCCAACTCCTCCGGCTATACTGAAACCTAGACCTGTCAGAGGTCAGAGTAAACCATTTGCTAAACCATTTCCCAACATGAATTATAATGATTAAATATCACAACATAGCATGCCTTATTTTGGAATCTTTAGATAACAGACACCTTTACCTTTAGGACCTTTTACCAGCTTTACATCCATTATTTTTTCTGTGACAGCTTTTCTTCTTCTGACGTACAGTCTGACGATGCAGCCTGCCTCCTTCAGTGCCTCCACAGCATTGCTGTGAGTTACGTCTCTCACATCTACATCATTTACCCGCAGTATACAGTCATTAACTCTGTACAGAGAGAATGAGGGAGAACACTGACTAAACAGTCCAAAAAAGGCATAAATACCAATGATAAAGTGTTCTTCGAAGTACAATCAATCAAAACACTAAATTGGTGTATAAACAAATTATCTATCATTGTAATCCAAGCTACATGTAAGGGAAGCAGCACAAGAGTTGCATTGTGTTTTCACACGGCATAACAGAGCTGCAGTTCTATACAGAAAATAATGTGATTTCTGGTTACTACACTGAGGATTTTCTATAATAACGGCTATAGCATATACTATTATTATCAGGAGTAAGTCACTGAAAACTATTAGAAATTTTCCAGTAAATAACGTGAGGAAGAGATTAAATTTACATGAGGAGGGGAATCATATTTACTGTCCACGTGCTAATTAATTCACACTAAATCCAAACCTCAGTTAGAGAAGACTTTAAACTGCTTAATCTTCAGGATTATGTCAGATTTATTTATAAAAACTGTGCGCCATACTGCTACATTAAACATTAAACTTGAACAGTAGTGTTTGGAGTCAGTTGGTGTCAGAAATAATACTTTTATTCAGCAAGGACACCTGGAATTGTTTTAAAGTGACAGTAACAAGTGACAGTAATGCTACAAAAGAGTAATGTTTATAATACTTCACAAAATTACTGTTTTACTGTATTTTTGATCAAATAAATGCAGCCTCTTTCAAAAACATTTTTAAAAATCTTACTGACCCCAAAAAGTAATATATTTTCTTCCAATCACTACAGGAGATAGACATTTTGTTGCTTTATAAATGCCCATATTGCATTTACAAGCAAAACCATTTAAAATTTCCATACTAAAGCAGAAATGTAAATGCTGAAGTTTTCTTCTTTAAAGGGTTAGTTCACCCAAAAAATGAAAATTAGCCTGTGTTGTATAACCCTCGAAGCATCCTAGGTGTATATGACTTCTTTCAGATGAATCCAGTAGGAGTTATATTAAAAATTGTCCTGGCTATTCCAAGCTGTATCATTGCAGTCAGCGGGTGTTGCAGTTGAACAGTCCACAAGTCGTCAAATAAAGCTCGCGCATTCATAATAAAATATGCCGCAGACGGCTCCGGGGGGTGAATAAAGGCCCCCTGTAGCGAATCCATGAGTTTTTGTAAGAAAAATATCCATATTTCAAACGTAATAAAAACTTTTCTCTCACTTCTGCTGACTGTCATACACTGAAGCAGTTCTGGCGGATGACATAAGACGCGCGGCGTTGCGTGATTAGTGACAAATGCGGTGAGAGAAAAAAACAAAACGCCGGTCACGAATTAGAAGTAAAAACCGAAGATTTGCAAAGAAAATTGTCGGAGGATTTTGATATAAACCAAGAGGAGACTGGTTTTCCTTTGCTAAAGTAAGGAAACTTTGCTTCCTTTGCTCCTATTAAACAAGCTCGCAAGACTAGCATATCTCAGAGGCGCGCGCACTGCGCATACGTCATACGCCTTCCGCCGGAACAGATCCACGTATGATAGGTAATCGGAAGTGAGAGAAAGGTGTTTATTACGTTTGAAATATGGATATTTTTCTTACAAAAACTCATGGATTCGCTACAGGGGGCCTTTATTCATCCCCCGGAGCCGTCTGCGGCACGTTTTATTATGAATGCATGCGCTTTATTTGACGACTTGTGGACTGTTCAACTGCAACACCCTCTGACTGCAATGATACAGCTTGGAATAGCCAGGACAATTTTTAATACAACTCCGACTGGATTCATTTGAAAGAAGGAAGTCATATACACCTAGGATGCTTCGAGGGCAAGTAAAACACAAGCAAATTTTCATTTGTGGGTGAACTAATCCTTTAAGTGCAGAAGTGAGTGTGAGAGTCTGAAGGTTCTTGAGTGTGAACCTTGTACCACGCTCTGACATTGCCCGAGGGAACAGTCCTGTATGCTAGCATCCTGTGTTCTTAGCAGATTACAAAAGATTCTGTTGATAAATTTACAGTGCATTTTCAACATGTTTTCTGCTGAATTCAGTGCTCTACATGTGGCAAAAATAGGTTCAGCAGTCAAAACTACCAACTACACTTCTGCTACTTCAGCTACTCAGAACTGTGCTGCTTATGCGGTTAACTTGTAACCAGAAATAAATAAGTGCTATTTACAAATGTGATGTGAAACAGGCCTAATAACATATTCTCTGACCTGAGTCTGCCATCTTGTGCGGCAGCTCCTCCTGGGATGATCTTTGTGATAAAGATGCTTGGGTCCTCGCCGATGTGGGGGTTATCGGTACCGCCTGCAATACTGAAACCCAGGCCTGAGTTCCCCTAAAGGTGAAAAAAGGGAAATGTCAACCAACCAAAAAAAAAGACCTATAAGCATAATGACATTATTAAATCCAAAACAAATCAATGGAGGAACGTGTGTGTATGTGAATGTTACAAGCAGTTGATCTGTGAAACACTTGATTCAAATATATATATTCAGTGCAGCACTCTGAATTTTTTTCTAATAAGGGCTTATATGGTTTGCATTAGTTAGTAGTTAATTAATGTGTTCAGTGTCATGAAATAACTTTTACAGTAATGTTTATTTGTAAACATAGTATAATAAACAGCACAAACACACTAAAAACACATCAACTATGTTAACATACACAACTTTAAATGTTAAAAAGTCCATGTAGAAATTACTATTAATCAAACGTAATAATAATGTATTGTCATAATATAGTTCAAGCTTTTTTCTGTCTTTAATTTTCTCTTTCTGACCGTGACTTTTTAAAACCTTGAGCATTACCATTTTACATCTCTTTTCATTGTACAATTTATGATACAGTTTTATTCAGACACTCAATAAAAATGACAATATTATGACACATATACTTTTATACATGGTGTAATATATTGTAAATCTTACTGACACTGTAAGAGCCTGTAATTTGTGTCACTGTCAGAGCAATCTTACCCGTTCAAGTGTAATTTCTTCATATTCATAATCAGCTTCTGTTCCATTCACCTGAAAGTTCAAACAAAACGAATTGTGTCAATATACAATGTTAAAATATACAGATATAAATAAATGGTCTCCTCTATTACGGTCACCCAAAAACGTTTATTAGTTCCCTTTCAGTCAGTCACTCTCGACGTCACGTCGGATGACCGACGAATTGGGATCTCGCTTAGAGAGACCAATCTACTTCAAGTGTAAACTAAACGAGCCAATGCACATTGGCATGCGATTATTGCATCCAGCTGCCGCTGATCACAGCGTGAGTATATGTAGGCAGCAGATGCAGCGCATATTCAGCTTTTCGCTTCGGAGCCGAGCGATCACATCGTTCTGCTCCTGACTACTCTACTGAGAGAAGAAGACTGAACGAGTTCAGCGCGCT